TCTTCTATTCTTATTAGTATTTTCAAAGAGAATAACCTATACTGTCCTTTTGTGAGATACAGTTCTCTTACTTAAACCCCTATTGCATTGGACTTGCATGCAGGTGTGTATACATACACATTCCTATGGTAACATTTTCTGTCGAGGTCTGGACCAGCTAAAAAGCATCTGTCATCATATTGCAGTGACACGTATGCTGATCCCTGTGTATTCCAGGCCTGTTAAAGAGTTTCTGCCTGCAGGCATCAGCTAGCAAAGTCAGGGCTGGATATTACAACATTTTTAAAGCAAGGACTGTTAGTGTCATCCCGGGGCCTTTGCAGTCTTGCCACACTGGCTTTGGTGTGGCCAAGGCTTCCTTCCCTTGCTTCAGTGCCAAACATTTGCAGTGATGCTCCATGTAGGCCATCAAAGCTGTGTCTTTAGGTTTCAGTATTTTAGAATAAACAGCCTGAGGAAATCTTTACTTCTATTTGTACATGGTAAGTTTTGGAGGATAAGTTTTAGATTGGATATTAGGAAAAATATCTTTATTGAAAGAGTGGTCAGGCATTGGAACAGGCTGCCCAGGGAAGTGGTGGAGTCACCATTCCTGGAGGTGTTTGAAAAAAGTGTAGATATGGCACTTCAGGACATGATTTAGCAGGCATGGTGGTGTTGGGTTGATGGTTGGACTTGATGATCTTAGTGGTCTTTTCCAACTTTAATGATTCTATGATTCTGTGATTCTAAGTTTCCACTGTGCAAATGAATATTTATAGCAGAAATGCCTAAGCCAGTCGAGGCAGCACAGATTTGAGATCAAGCCAAGAGGCAACATGAGACTGCCAGACTAAGCTGGGTACTAGTTCATGCTCATGTCATACCCCGCTTGTGCATCTGGTCCTGCAGCAATTCCTCCTCTCGGCTCAGCTCTGTGCTGGACAGACATGCTCAGTGCACGCTGGTTGCACTGTTAGTGTTTTTTGTATTTTCTTCCTACACTGGATGACTTCATCCGTTGTACCCTAAATATTGAGCAAATAAAAGTTAGGTAGAAAAGTAGTAATAAACTATAGAAAAAATTGTGACCCACACTATGTTACCATTAGTTACTGACATGGGCTACTCTAGGCACATAAGTTTTTTTGCTTGTCTCACTTGGTAGCGTATTCACAGAAGTATTCCTCAGTGTTTCATCTTAGTGTAGGCCCTTCTTCTGAAGGTGGCTAATGGAGCAATCACAAGTGTATTGGAGCTTCTCTTTGAAATTTGTTTTGTTATAAATGTAATTATGTACAGAAGATACATGTGTTACATAAAGGTGATGAAAAATCAAAATTCAAGCATGACGGTATACAAAAACAATATATAAATATCTGTTTCTATCCCTATACATAAACAGAAATTTTTTCCTTTCCCCAAAAGTCAATTCATCTGCAAAAAATAGACCACCATCATTGCCAGCAAACTTCAAGATATGAATTGCAGTCCCATTTGGAGCCTTTGATTTTAATCAGAAGTACCAGCTCTATGTCTTTCCCTGGAAAGCTGAGGCAGCTTTGGTAATGAGACCCTGGCAGTTGTGACCAGGAGTGGAAGTGGCAGAAGCCCACCCAGATGCAGCTGAGAGGATTAACACTAAATCTGGGGGTATTTTCACTGCAGCTTCTTGTCAGGAAACAAAATAAGGCATGGCTTGTTCCTGGAGGCTTTCAGTCTATCCTGAAGTTATTATATCTCTAAGATAAAGGCTGGCCCCACTGTGTTGAGGACCATTTTGGCACCGATCGCAGTGGGGCCAGGACATTGTTTCCTTCCCATTTACGATGTTCCAGAGTAGGTTTAGCTTTCTCTAGACATCAACGAGCAAATGAAGTCTTCAGTATGAGAGGTAAAATGGAACATTTTTTACTGAACCGTGCTTCCTGGAGGCACAAGTAACAAACTGGACATTTGTTACTCTATTATCAAGTTTCTCGGAAGAACAAGAACACTGAGCAAGTCAGTGAATCCGTGGCAAACTGAATGCTTTTTAAATGCTTTTCTACATGCAGAACTGAATCTTGTTTTCCCTTTATGTGTTCTGTTTTCAGTTTATAGTAAGAACGACGCTCCCAAGTTAGTTACATTCAGCTAGTTAAAATAGGCTCTTCCCTTCCTTCTTCCTTGGAAAATGACTGTAACAAGCAGCTTAATGGGATTCCTCTCTGTCTGTCTGAATAGTTTCTAAGTTAGAATTTACTGTCTAGAAAGAGAAGATTTCTGGGAGGAGTGAAAGGACAGCCCAGACCAAAGAATCTGACTCACTACTCTAAAATGCTCTCTTATAATTAGATGTTCTTTGATAAGAACTTTCATATTTGCTAATATGAATTGCGGATTTGTGACATCCTGAAGTATGTAATTGTGATATAAATGTTTGTTAATATAAGCATACTGATATGTTATGCATAAGCCTAACCCCTCAAGACACACTAATTTGCACTTAGACTCCATTCTGGGTCAAGTTAAATAGTGTATTTGGCAGGGACATCTGCGTGTAGCTTAGGTACTGATGCCAGGGCCAAACTCATGTATGTAATACTACATAGTGAAAAAAAAAAAATTTCAGGGAAAAAAATGGACAATAATATAGATGGAATATAAACAGGAAGTTTAATGTTGGTTTGTTTTCCCTGCAGCATTCCAGTGCCTATTTTGTTCCACTAAAGAGCTTTAAAAGGACAGGAAATGAGCAGTAGAGGTAATTAAGAAGGCCTGCTGCAAAAGGTGATGAAGATCAGGCAGTGGTAGAGAAAATCCACCACCACGGAAGTTTTTAGTTTCACTGTTATTACCTCAAGCTGCTATGCATGTACGGACAAAATGGCTGGAATCTTTTTGCTTGTCTATTCAAACCGATGAGCAGCTGAAGTCATTCCAGTGGATTCCTTTGTTATGCACAGGTAGCTCAGAAATGCTAATTGCTTCCCAGATTTTAAAAGATACAGTCCTTGCCTTGAGAAACTAATTGACTGAAAGTAAGTATTTTAGTCTAGAGCTTGCCCTAAGTTCCACTGAAAGATATATTGTCAAGTGAGACCTAATAAACTAAGCTGAAATTCTGATCAAAACTTCCATTCCTTTTTGTCTCTTTGATGCTGCCAGGTACGAAGGTTTGGTATTGTCACTCCATCTGCTAAATGCCTTTAAGGTGTTTGGTAATAATTTGACATAGTACGTGCTGACATCTTTGTGGATGCTTATTATTTTACACATGTGACTCTCAGAATCGTAGAATCATAGAATAGTTTGAGTTGGAAGGGACCTTAAAGACCATCTAATTCCAACTCCCCTGCCATGGGCAGGGACACCTTCCACTAGACCAGGCTGCTCCAAGCCCCCTCCAACCTAGCCTTACACTTCCAGGGAGAAGGCAGCCACAGCTTCTGTGGGCACCCTGTGCCAGTGCCTCATCACCCTCAGAGTGAAGAATTTCTTTCTTCTATCTAATCTAAATCTGCCCTCTTTCAGTTTAAAGCCATTACCATTTTTCCTGTCACTGCATGCCCTTGTAAAAAGTCTGTCTCCAGCTTTCTTGTAGGCCCCCCTCAGGTACTGGAAGGCTGCTGTAAGTTCTCCCCTCAGCCTTGTCTTCTCCAGGCAGAACAGCCCCAACTCCCTCAGCCTTTCCGCATAGGAGTGGTGTTCCATCCCTCTGACCATTTTTGTGGCCCTCCTCTGGATCTGCTCCAAGAGGTCCATGTCTTTCCTGTGCTGGGGGCTCCTGAGCTGGATGCAGGACTCCAGGTGGGGTCTCACGAGAGCAGACTAGAGTGGCAGAATCCCCTCCCACGACCTGCTGGCCACGCTGCTTTTGATGTGGCCCAGCATACACGTGGCCTTCTGGGCTTTTTTTTTTTTAAGAGACAGTCACAAAGATGTTTATTTTTTTTGCCAGAATACATTTGTACATACATATATGTGTGTTCATACATAAGTGTACACAAATATATGTACATATATGTATGTGTGTACACATACACACATATATGTGTATATACAGATATATATATGTATACAATTCTGAATTTACCTGCCAGCAGGAAAGACCCCTGCTGAAAAATACCACAAGATTGACAATTGTGTGTGTGACTGAATGTGTGTGTTTTCCATTTGCATCCCTGGGGAAACACAATAGAACACATCACAACCATATAATGGATGATGAATCACACACATTTTCATGATACATAATGCAATTTGATCTTTATTACCGTTGTCAGTATAATCAATACATACCAACCGCAAGTGACATATAAGAGAGGCAGCATTAGTATAATGAAACAAATTTTGATTAGCAAAGCCATAGCAAGTCTGTCCCCATGTATTTAAACTTCATTGAAATATCCAAGCAGGAAGCAAACACTTAACATCCAGGCAGTCAAATGGACAGATTGTTCATTCGAAGGTATGAGTTTCTCTTCTCTGCCTTGTCCATTTCCTCCTCGACTTCATAAAAACCTTGAGAAATCATCATACTGTGAAAGCCAAGTTCTGTTGTCTTACACCACCTGTGAAATGTTGTTTTTCTTGCAAAATGATGGTATTTTTGTATTGTTATAGAAACTGGTGCTCTGCTTCAGAAAATATTAATTTGTCTAATAATACTGAAATCACTGTAATAGATTTTCAATATTAAAAACAAATCGATAATCTTATGAAATGTATTGAACAGCTTGAATAATAATTGTACTATTAAGAAAAGTCTACTCAGGTGACAACCAGTTAACCAAGAATATGTAATTACAAAATGTTCTGAATGAACAACAACAGATGAAAACTCCCATTGTGACAGACGTATTTATTTAAAATACATATGCAAAAGTAATTAAGTGTATTTAAAACCAAATCTGCTGAGGGTTAGAACTATCAGCTTTTACATACAATTTGCATTGATTTCAGTGAGAGCACAGAATAAGATTCTTCTTCTATCATCAGGGTTAAAAGACTGCCAGCGTTGCAAAGGATTTGGTTCATTAAAACCCTGATTCGCTTGCGCTCATTTCATCCACAAATCCTAAAACAGGGGGATTCTGATCTCCTTCCCTGAATCCCACGCTGCTGCCTCTGTTTGTGTTAACAAACTTGTGTATGATGCTGTAATACTGCTCTTTCGAATTTAAGGTATACAAGAAAGAAATCTTCTGCCAGTCTTCGTTGCTGGGAGTCTGAAGTGCTGCTGGCTGAGTGGCTTCAAAAAAGCAATTTGTATTTATTTCTGCCAGCCTGGTTGCATGCTCTTTAGCCTTGGTCTTAAAGAGCTCTTTTTCCTTTTCCAAGTAAATTTTCCAGAACTTGAGCTGAACATAGCTAACCGGGGAGCGACAGCGGCTGATGCATGTTGAAATCAGTGCTGCAGTCATGATGAAGGCTATCAGGAACCATCCTATCAGCTTGGAAAAGAGATAGATGGGTTAACGGTGGTTTTGCATAGTCATATGCAGGAGTATAGAACTTAGCGTTGAAGGAGACATGAAAACTGTGAGCAAAGACACCCTGGAGTGCCTGTAACAGTCTGCTCGCTGCAGACAGAGGGGATCCTATGCACGTAATTCAACCAGCCTTAAAGAGCTTCTGCACCCCTGAGCTGATCTTGTTGAATTAAGGATGAATACCAAGAAAAGAGAAAGTGGAGTGGAGTTCTTTCTTCAGTTATATACAGCTTTCTTAACTCTAGGGACAAGATACTGACCTGCAGTTTCTGCAGTTGTGATCAGATTTAAGGTACAGAGGGTGCAGAATCACCCTGTCCACTGCTGGTGCTGTAAATTAGACCTGCTGACTGTGTTTGATCTGCTCTTGGCAAGTACCTCCTCTCCCTGATGTCTGAGCCTGCGAAAAACAGCCAGTTGGCACAGCAAACAGGAGAAGTTGTGTCCTGTCTGTTTTGTGGGCAGGACAGATTTGACTATCGAATTCATTCTCATTTTATACATGTTTTTGACATCCCTAGATAAGTCTCAGAAGCCCCGCCTAAAGCAGGTGTCCTAGTAGATGCTGGTCCCTCCAGTACCCAGTGGTGCTTAGCTGGAAGTTCCAGGCAAAGATTTCTCACAGCGTCCGCTTCTACCTCTGACTGATTTTTTTTTTTTTAAGTGAAAAACATTGAGCGCTAAAGAAAAATGCGTTTGTGTTCTTTTTGCTTCTTAAGTTTGTTCAAAGTAGATCAGATATTAAAAATAATGGTCAGTAATAAAAATGCTTTTACACTTTTTCTGTTTCTGTTTGACTGGTTTGTGTCTTTTAGGTTTATTGCAATATCAGTAACAGTCAGTCTTTCTTGATTTTGCTCCTTTCTTACCCTCTCTCAATTCAGTGGAATAGGTTTTGCCCCTTTTCAGCCTTTTTCTTGGCGGAGCAGCGTGCTAAATATTTAACAAACACTTTTTTTGTTTTAATAAACATTTGTAGTAAACAGGAACTTAGAAAAATCCAATTGATCACTGTCTCCTATGAACTTTACTCCATTAACCAGCCTTAATATTTTCCTGAGAAAAAGTGATGAAACCTGATTTTTTCACTGGAGTTAAGACGACGACCAAACAAACCTAAAACCAAAACTGGAGTGCTGCCAAACTGTGGGGGTTTCATTTCACTCCAAACAAAAAAATCCACCCACAACTGCTATTTTTTTGACCATGCAGTTTGTCTTCAGCACAAGAACACTTTAACAAGACAGATACATATTTTAACTATTCTTCTAGAACACAAGTGTGAAATTATTAATGGGTTCAAGCGTTGAGATTTGTAGTTAAACGAGCTGTCTTTTTGTTTCACTTGCCAGTTCTCTGCTGCAAGGAGGCACCAGCTTCCTCTATAATCCTGACCTCAGCTTCCCCTCAGCTTCCCCTCAGCTAATGCACACTTACAAAAGTTTGAGGTATTTAGCCAGGTGAAAGTGGAATAAGAGAAGAACTCATACCATGCCTAAGTTAAATGAGAAGAAAACTTGCTGTGAAAAGTCCTGCTCTGTAGGCTGGTTCCCTGCCCGGCTTTGAAAGACATTTTGTAAATGGCAGTGCCAAACAACTGCCATGCAAACATGCAAGACCAGAAAATAGCACATATATACACTTATTACCTTTCTGTTAGTGCTTTTTTGCTAATGGATTGTTGCTAATTGTGTACTTTTGGTAATAGTATAGCAAGAGAAAGAATGAATATTTACGGTCCACAGCAGGCACCACCACACATTGCAGAGCCAGGGTTGAAGCCCGTAGGTTGAAGAGAAGAGCGGCGAGGCTTTACCTGGGACTGTGCCTGAAGGCTGAGGAAATCCCCCGATATAGTCTTTGACAGCTTCTCGTTGCAGGGTATTTGGACCAGCTGCTTGCGGCACTCTTCATCTTTACACATGAGGTTCCTTATGAGGCCGTTCCCGCTGGCCGCACACTCGTAGAAGCTGGCTGTGAGCAGGGCCACCGCGATCCAGGTGAGCGGGGCCACCAAGGCTCTGAAAGC